AGGACCGAGCTTCTTCGATGGGGCAGTCACTGTGCCTCCCCTCCGGTCCAGCGGCCTAGCTCAGTTGGTAAGGCACGCAAGTGGCATTCAGGAGGTCTTGGGTTCAATCCCCATTGGCCTCATGTACCTTCCTGGGCAAAGCTTGGTGCCCGCCACCTAGAGATATGCCGTTGGTCCCCCCGAGTGGCATTGAGCAGAGACTGCTGATGTTCATAGGGGGAGGGGACCGGAGAGTAATTTTGGGGCCTGCGGCACCCTTTTCCCCGTTTGGGGGGAAATGGATACAAAGGTTTCGTCGCSGGGAGGTTTTACGACTTTYCCCTTTTTTATTCTGGACGTGCCACKTGTGATGACGTGRGATTTATRACATTAGAAAWAATGGTTGGTGWTCCTCAACTAAWTACCTGAAACACGTGGACAGCGAATCTTTGATTCCGGAAGTGCCACGTGTGATGCCGTGGGATTCACCTCATGACCTCATGCAAAATAGTTCACTTCCATCTACAACAGCGGAAACACGCTGGATGCCTGGGAACGTTCTACATMGTTCTACATGTAATAAGATCTACCGAGTCTCCTCGGGACGCAGGGCGTGATTAAGCAGTCAGTGGGAAAGAACGGCGACGATGATTACGACTTCATGGTCGGYGCTTGGCCCTAATTGGCGGATGTTATGCAGAGRGCCGGTCGAGCTGCAATGGGAAATGGTCACTGACGGSGGGCGAGGCAGAAACGTCTGGTCGACGGGGAACGAATGGGGCACAATGCTTCAGATTCAACAGCTCTCGYGACGGAAACAGATTCTCCGTTTATTTTTACGGCCAYTGTTCGTTGTCCCATTAGCTCGCGAAATTGAATTACGTGCCTGTTGTGTGAACATGGTCGGCTAGGGCATAGGCAGGGTCTAGCGACACCACTACGTTTTTCAGCACTGGGTCACTGCTGTTCGCGCTCTGCAGTTGTCATTAAACCTCCGATTSGGATCTACTAGTCCCATTATCTGATAGCCATCATGACATCCCGAGTTTGAGATGTTATGACGCAGGGTTTCTTTTGGGCAGGGAGTAGCTTGCTTGCACCTACAGTATAAGGGCAGTAGATTGGAGGTTAGCGGAAGCCGTAAAGAGATACGCCGGGGATCTCTTCATTGGGGTCACTCGCTGACAGACTGTATTCTCGTACTTCAAGATGACAGCCTTGTAAATTTGTATGCTCCGGGAGTCCTCAGATAGTATGCTTTTGTTTCGTTTTATTTGTAAATTGAATATCCTCCGGTCTATTGGTGGGGACCATCTCCTTGACTTTCCGATTTGTTAGGGCATACTCACACTTGAACTTTCCAGTTGAAGGTGGTCGCAGCTGCGAGCAGATGCACCAAGGAAACTCCTACTGTGAGTACCGTACAACGGATTGCWTCGTTCTTAGTCTTCAGGAGCAGGCCTCCATAGCACAGGGCATCCTCTATGGATGGAGAGACTTTCGTTCTTTGTTTCCAGGAGCATAGTTCATCCTCCATCATCTATAATTATATAAAATATAATAATATATTTAATAATATAATAAGATATTCAATAATACAATATGCAATCAGACGTCCTTTCTTCGACTCGACATTCATGCAAACAGATACAGATATGGCTGGCGCAACAGCGCCCACACAGAAAACTGCGAGATTTGAACTTGGCCAGGAACACAGACGGATTCAGCTTTATTCAGAAATGGCTATGGCGTGCAGTGCCYGACAATTTTCTTTTTCTACACTGTATCCCCAACACTTGTTTACACGCACGCAACACACCCTCACTCGCTACCTGGATCTACCCTGGATGTCCACACGCACACACTAACACATCTACTATCTAGCTGACGTGGTGGCTATGGCCACCTCCTTGCTCCTCCTACTAACAGCTATGACGGATTCCCTCTCTTAGCCCTCTTCTTCTACGGGCACCTGCAGACCATCGTACACAAGCCACTACTTTGGCAGTGCTTCCATACGGCTCACAGACAGAATGAATGAATAGCTCGACGCTGCCTCTTATTTAATACTTCGTCTACTGGCTGGCCTGTCCTATAGGACCCTGGCCCAGGTGTGCACAGTTCCATTGGTACTTGCTGACTGGATGCTTCTGGAAACTGCTGACTGGACCGGTAGAATCTGCCAGGTAGGACTACCCTCTAGACCTTTCTATACAGAGTGACACCTAGGATCTACAAAGAGCCACCTAGGACCGTTCTGGATAGATCTACAGCCTACTGGTGTGACCCTTYGACACTGTAGCAGCTACAACTCAATCTAGCTACGACCCCTACTCTACAGACCTATGGATAGAACCCATACAGCCCACATATGTACAACAGTCCCAAACAGGCAACTTTCGAGCAACAGGTCACGGGTTCAAACACACACAGACACGGGGTATTATACACAGGTTAGGTGTAGGTCTAGGGATCAAACCCTGCGTGGTGCAGAAAACCGTTTCAATTATATTATTAAATATATTAAATATATGATATATTCAAATACTAAATAACAATGAATTGTTTCATATAGCAAAAAAAAGGCAAAGAAATAAAAAAGAATAGAGGTAGTATATATGTTAGTGTGATGACCCGCCAAAATACGGACACAGCTGATTTCTGAGCTTTGCTCATGGAACGAATGCTTTACTGGGTTTGCTAAGTCTGTGTGTGTGCATGCTTGCTGGTCTGCATGCCTGTCTGAATGCTTGTCTGCTTGAGTATGTGCGTGACCCGTAAGGGCACTTGTTCGTTCGTTGAGCCCGTAGGGCCGGTACTTACCTGTGGCCGTGACATCGAGGATTGCAGCGGGGAAAACACTCAAGTGGCGGGAAAGAGGCCCGCAGCACTTGAAGCAGGGTGAAACACTCAACTACCAGGTAGGCCGGTACCACACCCCCAAGAGGTAGATGTGCCAGGTACTCGAGGCCGAGCAGATGAAGACAAAAAGTTGGCATTTTTAGAGGCCTGTAGCTGTAGGCTGGGTCTAGGAGGGTACCGGTCCAACCAGTCTGAGTCTATGGCCTGTACGGGCAATATCAGAGGCTGCAATGATTTTTCCCTCCGAAAGTGAGGAGGCACCGGTTGCTTGCGAGGTCGAGCGGCCTGGAAGTCACCGCCCAAGAGGCAAGCAGGCTGCTATATTTCCAGGCCGGGCAAAGAGCCCAGCCTCATTGTCGGTGTGCAAGTTTGGCCACGCACTGGTTCGAGCCCTGGTTGGAGCAGCGCTAGCTTGGAGCAGCGCTAGCTTGGAGCAGCGCTGCTGGGCTACGTGGCACCGTTGGCCGCAGATCCTGCGGCCTAATCCTGCGGCCTAATCCGCGGCCTACCTCCTAGGCCGCAGGCCCGCGGCCGAGTCTGCGCGCGGCCGCGCCACACCCAGGCCGCGGTGCGCGCTCAAAATCGGCACGCGCGCTCGGCCTGCGCACGTCGGCCGCTGTCGGCCTGCATTAAAAACAAAAAAATCAAAAATTTGGGGGGGGTGTTTTTGATAGGTAGCAAGAAATGATAATAAAATAGAAAAAACATAAATATTCATTTATTGATTTTTTTTTTAATGATTGATCGATTGATTGATTGATTGATTGATTGATTGGTTGATTGATTGATGATTGATTGATTGATTGATTGATTGATTGATTGATTGATTGATTGATTAATCGATTGATTTTTTTTTTTTGATTGATTGATTGATT